CTGATTTCATATGACATATATATGATTTTATATATAACTTGTAATATTCAAATACCGAGGCAAATTAGTTTACTGCGTTTATTTGTTTATACGGCTATATTGATGAATAGAACGATAAGCAAATGAAATATATATGTAATTTTTAAAAAACTTGGCATAAAATTTCTTATAGCAGATATTCCTATTTTAAGTCTGAATTCAAGCACTATTTAATTTAAGTAAAGTCAAAAATCTCTAATGACAGAAATAATGTTCTTCCTGACTTTCTCTTTTTTAACCTTGTTTTAATAATAAATTTTCAATTGCAACCAAGAACGGATTAACAATTATTAACAAACTCCGCGCTTTCTCTTTCATTTGATTTTTCTCTTTTCGTTTTGACATCGAGTACAACGCAGTTCATTCCTGACAGACTTTCAGCGGTCGTCCCACACTTTTTCCATCTTTTTCACCCGCACCGACTTTAACCAGCAGCTGACCCTCATCTCTCTCTCTCTCTCTCTCTTTCTCTCTGTCTCTCCCTCTCTCTCTCTCTATTTTTCTCTCCCCCCCTCTCTATCACTCTGTCTCTCTCAACATCTCTTTCACTTGCGCGCTTATTTGACACATCGTTTCGGTTCGAAGGCACAAACCTTTCTAGACTTATTTCCCGGTGGCGCAAACTTTTCAAGACTTATTTTTCTATAGCACAAAAAAGATAATATTATGGGTTCACTTTCTTGTACGGCTATCGGTTTATAAAGTACACTATTTTTAATTCCAAGAAAAATAATATTTAGCTCGGACAAAGTTAATGATAGAACTCTCCTATATGCCGTAAATTTTTATGTACAAAGTAATGTACACTAAGTCAAATTTTTTGTCAAATTTACTTAACGATGAAGTTATTTTTACGGTGAAAATTAATTTAAAGAAAATTTAATTAACCTCTTGAATAAATTTGATTTGAATTAAAATTTTTTTTCACTTTTTTTTAAATCCGTATCGTATACAACAAATCTGTTCGATGATTCACGTTTTTTTATATAGAAATGACAAACTAAATTAAAAAAAATTATTTGACTCTATAATAATTATTATATATGTAAATATTGATGTAATTATTCATTTCTTTTAATAGAAAAGAAATTATTTTACATTTTTAAAAACTATTTCATTAATTACTTTAAAAATCTAGAAGAATGCACAATATAAATATGGTAGAATCAAATATAAATAGATTGAAGACAAGTTCATTCTGATTTATAAATTTTTTTTTATTATCATTTAGAAACTATGATTATTTTAATAGCATTGTTTCAAATTAGCAACATGAAATTTAAATTGTATGTTTATAAATCTAATAGAAATAGATTAACTTACGGTCGGCTTAATTGAGCAATCATAGACAATGTATTGATTAAAATGATCAATTATAAACATACCAGAAAAATAAATAAATCAAAGTATATATTATCAATTAAATTTCAACAAAGTATAGTCTTTGAAATAACACGACTATAAATTAGGATCATAAGAATAGCAAAAACCTTATGTGTATATTATATGTAGCAACAATTTTGATACAGTTTTAAATTATATTTACAAATTACACTAATCCATGTTTTTCGTATAAATTTGAAGAAAACTAATAATGTTTATTGTTATAATATTGAATAAATACAATTGGCTTAATGCTAGTTCTCCCGTTCATAATTTACAAAATGGAATTTGGAATTAAATTACTCCTTGATTACAAAAAAGAATATATGTAAATTCCAGTAAACATTTTCCGCGTATAAAACAAAAGTTTTCACAAAACGATCAACGCTTTATTTAGCAATAATAGTTTTTTGACAAATATGCGGTTTGTAAGCATGAAGAATTTTCCTTTCTTAATATTTACTTTCAATATCTGAACATTTCAAAGGTATAAACACCAATCTTTGCGCCAATTTGGAATTCATTTGTTTGCAGTAAATTTGTGCTACAACTGAAAGATCAACATTTTTTCTTTTTACAACTCCAATCCACAAGGCGGATTCTTTGCGCGTCCTCCTTATTAAACAGCTGTTTTCTTTGAAAACCGCATACGCACACGCGAATGTTCTCGACTACATATCATTATCCCGTAAACGAAAAAGAATTCCTTAACCACAAGATTCGACTAACGTCATTCCATTTAGAGAAAAAGGATACATTTGAAAAGAATATTCGGAACCTAAGTAAGTTATTAACTGCTTTATCGAATAATTTTGTTTCATCGATAAAATTCAACTAAAACGCAAGAATTATTTGTAGAATTACATATATACAAATTTATTCTAATTATCCATCTAAATATACAACGAACTAACGATCTTAAGAATAAATTTCACTAGTATTCCTCTAGCAGTTTACACGAATCATAGTTTGTAATTCTATTTGGTTGGTAAATAAAATATTGAATCAATCGCATAGCGAAATATTTAACTCGATTTGAACTATAGTATACATAGTTTATAATAATTCATTGGTTAGTTTAATATTTATATTTAATAATAAATTAATTCAATTATTGGCTCAATTGAATAACGGTATGTTTGTTTAAAAGTTGAAGTATTTTATTATTTACCAATATTTAAAGTATCTTGTATTATAATATTTTGTTTACACTGAATCTCAATAACCTGACTACATAATTTGAAGGTAATTGGATGGATGCCTTAGTAATTTTAGATTACACAATTCGCGATGACAAACTTCCTCGCGCATAGAGAATGCGCAAGTGTAATAAAATTTACAAATGTTCGGCAGAATAAAAACAGAAATTCATTAAAAATTTCTTTTAAAATCAGCTCTCTGGTCGATCTACGTAATATAACAGAACAAAAAAGAAAAAACAAATAAATATATTAAATCAAGTATAGGATAAGGATTTTTAAGGAGCCTTAAATAAAGAAGATATCGTAAATTCGTTTGGGCGACGTGGTAGAAGCAAATCCAAATAGTATTTTAAAGAGCATAATTTATATTTCGGGCATCCAGATTTTTTAAGAAAATCTTACAATACAAAAGAAGCATCTGTAATAACAATAATGTACACTCACCAGGTAGTGCCGTATCCGCGGCAATGGACGCAAGGAGATCGAAGGTAAAGACGAAGAAGACGAGAGAGCTACGCCGGAGGTAGCCTCCTCTTGGGATCTCCTCCTCCTCCTCCTCGGTACGCATCTTTTTTACTCGCTGCTTATGAATAACTTGCCCTCTTAGCCACTCGTACGCTCCTCTTTATCAATGCTCAACACTCTCCTAACCTTTGCTGGTTGCGCGCGTCCTCACGAGGCTTGCATCCTTACATACAGCGGCAAGCAATTCTATCCTTGTCTTTTTTTCTCCCTCTCTCTAAATATATCGCGCGCACCTCCTCGAGGTTCTCTTTCACGCGCCGCACGCAATGTCGAACAAGGATAAACGCGAACTCCCAGCGCTCGCGAGTTCTCGCCTCGGACTACCTGCTGCTGCCTTCTCCGGCCGAGCCTCCTCCAGTTGGCGCTGCGTTGCAGTTCTTCCCCCTCCAAACAATTTCACCATGTTAGCGGCGGCGGCGGCGGCAACGACGTCGGACGCCACGACGCTTGCCGCGAATGTTCCGCGGTCCTTGCTTTTTTAGATCGAGCTTTTCACGATCTTTCGTGGGAGAACTTCGCTGGACCACAGATCATACGCGTGATAGGGGAAGTCGTCATTCGTCCACTAGACTCTATTCCCGCGTTGTTTAGTCAACGATGATAACGTTTCATTCGGGCGGGGGAGGAGGTGCCTTGTTACCAGTCAGAAGCAGTAAGATTAAAATCGGATTTGCTTGCTGAGCGATAAGATTATTGGATAGTGTAGTTTAGCTCGGTAGCGAGTATTTGTTTAGCTGCGAGATTAATGCAGAGAAAGGGAAATTAAAAGACAAGAGACGTCCATGCCTTTCTATAAACAACGTGTTTCCTCGCCGAATTTTTCATGGAAGTGTTTTCCTTTTTTCTCTTTTTTCCTTATTTTTTTTCTGCAAAATTTAACCACGCAGAAAATTTCACGATACAAATAACAATTTCTTTCATCAATTTACTGCTTTAATGTTATTTAATATATTTTTATTTTTATAATAATAAGAAGACCGGTACTCAAGATTATTTTCATATTTTTACAAATTATATGCAATGAGTGTAGTTAAATAAAGTTTCTTAAAGCAGTTGTAGATTATTCTAATCATTCTTGCTAATAAATTTCAATTCTCCCAGAATTTTAGTGCTTATAATTAATATACAATTGTTGTAGTACAAATAATTAATTTCTCATTCATTTTTTTTATTTATAATTTTATAATAATATAATTTTTTTCGATTTAAAAGTTTTACTTTTTTTTTAATTCCTTGAACATAGCTTTATAATACGTAGTATTATAAAATATAGCATATAAAATCTATTTCACATTACCCATAAATTAAACATTTTTTTTCCAGTAATCGTTTATACAAAATATGTATTTATCAATTTTCATTACTTTAAAAAATATTTAATTAAAGTATTGTACAGTACAATATAAGGAATATAAATATAGTAAAATTTTATGATATGCTTATATTATAGGTTTCATAAAAGCTGCTAGTATTTTGTTTAAAAAGTTATTAATACTTTTACGAAATAAAAGTTTTATTAGACTCAAAAACATAAATTTTATATAAATCACGTATTAGAAAATTATAAGTTTCATTCGATTGAATTTTTTTTAAAACTATCTTGTCGCGTGGTTGCATACATGTACATAAAAGGCATATGTCCAATCATATTTAAAGAAATAATATATTGTAAAATACCGTTTTTTTATATAATTAAGTGAAATTCCACAAAAATTTTTTTTTCAAATAATGTATTGTACATTGTTACCAAAAGACAACTACTGTCATTAATGTTTACGAAAACTTTGCATATTTTAAATTTTATACAATGATGTAATAATGATAATAATGATTGAAAAACAATTAAAAAAATTAAATAACATTTCCACTTGTATCAAATACATACTTCTTCCCCAAGAATGAAAAAGCAGACGACTTTTCCGTTGTTAATGAACAAGTTGAGGAAGCATTTGCTGATACTACAGATGTTAAAGAAGAAACTAAAGATAATTCATCCTCTAAATTTAAATTCGACTTTGATATACTTCGTATTTTCAAATTCTGATTGAAAACAGCCTATAATTAAAAAATATGTTTAAAAATATATTAAAAATATAATTTTATTCTTAGAATTATAATGTATACAGTTATAAGATCTATGCGTAAATAAAACAACAAAGAGTTTAAAAATGTGTGTGTTAGATATATTTTTAGAAGAATATTTATAAGAATGTAAAAATTAATTAATATATTCATTTTAATGGTTTCTTAATTGATTTTTACTATTATACTGCTCATTTATATATTTATTGATTAATGTATATAAAATTACAATTTGCTCTTGAAATAAAATATTTTCTTACAATTCTATTTATTTTTAATCAATATATATTGAATTCCACGCATTATATTAGATTTATAAAAGAGAAATATTATTCGCAAAACTTTTTAATGCATTGATTCTTCTGCTTTTGGACATTACAATGAAATTAAGTTAAAACTATCATTATAGATAGTTAATACGTATAAAATAAATTTTTAAACATATTTCTCTTTATAATTTACGTAGAATACACGAAGAAAACGTATTAAGTAAATTAAATAAAAATAAGTGTTACATTCTAAGTACATAGTGAGGAATAATAGTGCATTGTGATTGTGGGAGGGGGGGGGGGACAATGAGAAATATAGGATGAAAAACATACCGTTATATTCGTATCAGAATTGTAAGTTCTCCGCAGTGATTCTGTCTCGTTTTTCATCATTCTAATGCTTGCATCGATTAATGCTTTCTGCTTAGTTTTTTTTGCTAACATATAATCCTTGATGCTCGTCCTGGCAATGTATTCAAAGACTTTGAGCGCATCAAACGCGGGATTAAGTTTGGCATTTTGAATGTTCTGGTATTCCTGATATTCTTCCTCGAGTTTCTCGACAACCCACATATCCAGCAATTTTTGTTTGCCCTCTTTTAAACGTACATTGTAATCGTAGAGCCTCATATTCATAGGACGTAAATTTTCCCGAGACTTCGTCAGAGGACAGACATTTGCACAGTCCAGCGTCTTCGATATCTCCATCATCGCCTCGTCCTCCTTCATGCCGTCATAAGTTTCGATCTCCAGAAACGTTAACTGGAACAATGGGAAATCCAAATTTGAATGACAATGGGGTATAATAAGTTCGTTCTTTCACGTCTCTGTCTCTCTACTTTAGTTTCATTATACGTTGCAAAGTGGTAGAAATGACAGTTTGACTATTAACTAAATGAAAATGAACGATTATTAAACTAACTATTAATTTTATTAGTAAAGCTTTTCTTGTGTAGAAGTGAAGTGAATACAATGTAAAAATATTTGTGTTTCCAAAAACAATGTTAAGAAAATTTGTTTATCAATAATATTTTTCCATTACAACGATGATATTTTTAGATGATTTAAAGATTTTATCAAATTTTGTTCAGCAATATTTTTTCGTACCCACACATATTCACTCTTTTACCTTTATTCTTACAATTACAGGAATTTGTAATAATTTCTTAGTACCTACATTATCAGCAGTGGGTTCAATTCTATACTGATATCTTACCAACAACTGTATCAAAAGCAGCAAGTAATATATTTTTTATAAGTCAATGATATATTCTATCTAACCATCAGTAATCGATTTAGATATTTTATTATTATTCAATATCTTATTTGCAATTGTTTTTTAATCAGTTTGCCTCATGGAATGAAAATTAAACGACTTTTAACACAAGTGTATCGATTATTATATCTAGATTATATGTCTATTTAAGTATTTTCCAGATATTATTATTATGTTAAATAACAACATAATGTAAAATATTTACAATTGATTTTTAATCAGATTTTCGCTACTCATGAGCTATACTACAAACCACTTTTATTTAAAAATGATTTCTATGCCGAATTCGTTAAAATAGATAATATACTAATTCATTATCTTACTTCTAATTATTTTTCTTCAATATTACCATTAATTATTTCAATAAATTATAAAAAATTTCTATTATTAAAAGAATATCGTTAAAAATATAATTTTTCTATATTTCTGAACATATTTATCGATTTTGAATTTCAATATTTATTTATTGTCAATATTGTTGCATTTATGTTATTAGTATTTGTGTATATCATAATGTAAAATTTATATTCATGATTTATTTTAAAGTTATTTAATAATATTCTGAATTGAAAAATAAAAGCAAAATGAATCCTCGGTAGTGCATATAACAGAAATACCAGAGTATACCAGAAAATTTATAAAAAATGTATCAAATTAAAAAATCAATTATATTATTATAAATAACAATGAAATATGTGAATAATTCCGTTCAAGATTATAGGATATTGAAGTTCGGACTTGGCTCATTCATATATATTTGAAATATACCGGAATTAAAGAAAACTTTGAAGGAAACAAAAATTGACAGTCCTTAAAAGTTGCCTAATAGGGGTATATCTATACTGAATATCATTTTAATTAACATCTGCTTATTAATATTTTATTTTATTTTACGTTTAGTAATAATTGTATGGAACTATTTTGAAAAAAAATTAGAGACGTTCTTAATCATTTCGGGATATTTGAGAAAATAAATAGAACACAAAATACAAATTCAATTTTAGAGGAAAATCATTATTAGCATTTTAAATGAAAAGCAAATATTTGTGTTTACTTACTTCATTGTATTGATTCATGGGAAACAAAAATATTTGAATGATGATTCTTTTTAGCTAATGATCTTAAAAAAATTATCAACCTAAAATATTATGTTTTCATTATAATATCAGATACCATGTATATATTGGATTATATACATATTATATTTACATTATCGTTAATGTTATTAAAAATGGAATGAGTTACAATTATAATAAAATTGGATTAAAAATTGAATAAAATATTTTACTTTAATTAAATAATTTAATATTAATAGTTTATTAATTAAATTATTTTCTAGTTTAATTATAATAACTTTGTATACAAACATGTAATAGTTAGAAAATTATACTAAATTCAAATGTTAAATTGTTTATATTTTCAATTGGCATATGCTATTGTAAGATAATATAAAATTGATATTATATAGAATGTGATTTAATAAATCCCGTTGGTAAATTTCTTTTTCCTAAAAATATTAAACCTATACTATTAAGAATTAAATAATGAATCATATTATATTGTTCTCAATGATAATGTTAACTTGTTCACATATATTATGAATATTATTTCTTTATTTAAAAAATTCTAATATATTAATATTAAGTATTGACAAAATATATAATAGCTTATTATCAATATATGAGACTCTATGAAACTTCATTTCAATTAATTGAGCTTAACTTACATTCGATGTAATTGCATTATGAAATTCTATACGAATAAGTGGCAAGATTATTTTGTGCGTAATTTTATAAACATACACGATATTAATCATTTTTACTTATATTTCGTATATTTTAAAAATAACTTTAAGTATTATAAATTTTTATACACAAACTTTTCAAAGCATTAATATTTATCAATAATTTAATAATACCAATTATTTAAATACAACTTTTATATGATAGAAGAAAATTGTAGATAAGGTATGTGTATTTATTGACTTGATTATGTAAATTTATTTTGATAAATAATAACACAAATTTATGTTTAAATATTTTAACATTAAGATCGAAATGAAAGTAAATGATTTATTATTTAAGAACTACGAATAAAATTAGTATTTAAATACTTTCACATTACTATTCTATTAATTAGCAAAGTATAAATAAATTTTCATTTTAATATTTTTGTCACTATGATTGTCACTATCTCTATCACAATAGTCTTTCCATTTGAGATGAAAAACTCTACCTATTGTCATAAACTTCATTCTATGTGACAATACCCATCATATTGATTAAGTGGAGATAAACACAAGTATGAGTATTACATCATTTACTCATCTAATAGAATAATAGATAGTAATGGAATTTAATTTATCACTAATAAATATTTTCATACTTTCATAATTTATAGTCATTAATTAATTTACGTTTTTGAAACATTTTTTTAAATAGATAGTTTAAAACGTGTGCTTTAAAATTTGGTTTCTTATTATGGTCAAAATTTATATATAAAATTAGTTACTATAAAAATTTATACATTTTTTTATTCTTTTTCTCATTTCATAGTTTCAAGAAATAATTAATTGAATTGTAATTGTAAAATATATGTAGTACTGATGATTGTATGGTTTAAATATGAATTCATGTAAATTCCTCCACTATTAATACAATAATAAGTTATTTACGACTTTTTTATAAACTACAATTATTTTACTGTTTTTCAAACTTATATGAATGACCTAAGACATACATATCCTACATGTATTTAATAATTATGTTTTTTTATTTTACTTGGGACAAGAGGTGTATACACTTTTACATATATATTACATTAAACAGAAATTAAATAAATATAATTTAAACCATTTTATATATAATAAATCAAATGTAAGTAATCTATATCGTCCGTATCTTATACATATAGATAAATATTTAGTGTACAACTTTTATATTTTCGAAAATATAATTTATAAATAATAGAAGGTCAAATTATTTTTATAGATAAATATTATTCTACTTACACGTTCTTCTATAGTAAGTTTATTATATAATATGTTCCAACAATCTTTTTGATATTTTTCATAATCTTGCATTAATTTAATTAAAAACACTATTTTTTCTCGAGCTGGACGGGTTGCAATTGTAATTATATTACTTGAATTGCGTATCGATTTAATGTAATATAGATAAAGCGTTTGGCTATTATTTATTAATGGTGATTCCATCACTATTATATAAGAAATTCAAATATTAATTTAGTTTTAATAACTATAAATGCATCAAGTTTTTTTAGTTTTTTTATATTTAATTTGGATTTAAATATGTGTGTGTGTGGGGGGGGGGGTGTAGCTACATAATTCATATTTAATATATTAATATATTAATTATATATATGTACCTACCATCTTTGTATTTGTAATTTTTCTGAGCACCAAATATTTTTCTTTCTTCCTTCCAAATATGTGTTAAAATAGATATTAAATTCTTCTGCTTATCAGCGCATCTCCAAGAAAATAAATAATGAATACTAAATTGTTTTTCACAAATATCCGTAAGTACGTCCAAATAAAAATTCTGTACATAAACATTCGCATTTTCCATGATGTCTAAAAACAAGTAAAGCCCACTTTTTTGCAAAAATTGTATAAATGTATCCGCATTAGGAACTAAACACTTCCAAATAAATGAACCAATTGTAATAAGATAACTATAAAGTAAAATCTGATTTTAACAATATATATAATTAGAAATCTAATACTGAATAAAAATCTAAAAACCTTTGCTCAAGTTTAGAATCTTCGCATTTCTGATATCTGCATCGATTTAACAAATTAAATGCACTTTTGAATACTAGTTCATTAATTTCTAATGGACTACACTGATTTTCCACTATATTTTGAATAGTTATAAGGAGAAAAGATATAGTTTTTTGGTGAGTTATTGATAAAGCTTCAAATTCAAGAACCCGTTGAATCAAGTCTAAATTAACACATAAATTATGTAATAAAATTATCTAATTTAGGGAATAAGAAATAAGATAATTTCATAGAAATAATGACTGAATAACTTTTACCGAATAATGGTTTAGCATAAAATTGATGTAAATTTTCCCTAAGTAAATCACAATTTATCGAAGATAAAGAACAAAACATTTCTGCGAAATATGTAATATCTGTTAAATTAATTTTCAAATTTACGAGATCAACCCCAAAATTATAGAATCTATAATAAAAAGAATTTATTATTTATAATAAACTATGCATTTATTACTTTCTATAAGCAATGGATGTATATGAAAACACGTTAAACGCTCTAATGAATGTGTAAGTTACTTTTGCCAACCGTTGAAATTTATAAATTCTTCTGGTATTTTCGGAACAAGATATATAAGTGCGTTAGATACATATTTGAAGAGATGCCAACGTTGCTCAAAATTCCAAGGTAATTTTGTATCTTCGGAATATGGTTGAAAAAATTGAAGAAGTCCAAATATTAATTTCCTTTCTTTTAGGAGCTATTGCATGAAAATTTTATTTTTATTTTATAGATTTTTATATTTTATAGAAATTGTAGAACAATTTTTAAAATCTTTGATTTAAATAAAGTAGAACTAAGTTGAAATATAAAAAGTACTATATAGTAAGAGACATAAATCTTACAGTTAAGAAGACATTTTATCATATACAGATAAATGTTCTAATAAATATAATAATCAATTTTATATACGCGTTTGGAGGTTTTTATTCTGATTATTGGATAGAATTGAATCTTAGCGGACATTTATTTAATACGCATATTATAAATATTATAAGAATTCAGAATTTTTCAGCATTATTTATAAAACTAAAAGAAAAACAAAAAAATTAATTTAGGAAAATAGTATAACATAAATTGTAGTTGTAAATACTTATTTTAATTTTTTTTTATCTAGACATACAAATTAACTTTTAGTTACTTAGTTAAAATTTTAAAAATTGCAAAATTAAATTACAGAAATTATAAAGCCTTGCTGTGAATTATTTAATTAATTTAGAATTATATTTACAATTGTATTAGACAAACTAGATATTTTTATGTTATTAATTAATTTATGGAGTAAAGTAATTCATAGTGATAATTAATTAATAGATTAATAATAGAGTACATGTATAATAATTTAAGTATAAATTTTCTATCAATTTTTTTTGTTAAAAAAGAAAATGTTTTAGTCGTTCGACTTACAGGTACAGTTTCAGGCTGCACCTCAGCTATTAATGTGACGATAATTAGAAGTGTCCTCTTGAAAATTAGGTCATCTTGATTTTTAGTCTCGATACTGGCATTCTCGGCCCAAGTGTTCTGTGTCCCGCATTCTGTCGCCACAGCAAGAATAGCCAAATCATCAGCAATTCCTGAGCCAACGAAGTCCCATTCGGAGTAGTCTGATGCGCGACCAAGAAGATTCGTTAGGATCATCCTCACGAGTTCGTTGCGTAAAGTTTTGCAGCGCGTACTTCGTTTAGCCTCAATTACGCTCAAATTCAATATCTTGCGGAGGCAACTGGAATCGATATTTTTTATTTGCATAACACCATTTTTTAAGGCTGTTAAAATATAAGCTTGTAATAATAATAGTTAAATAGATTTTTTTAAAATTTTTTAATAAATTTTCCAACGTTATATACTACATATATACTACGTTCTTCAGCTATAAGATATATATATATATATTTAATATATATATATCAAATTATATTTTCAAACTTAGACATTTATTATTTTTTCTGTATTCACAAACAGAATTCATAGATAAAAATGCATTCTTTATATAAATTAGAGATTATACCGTTAGACATTAAATTTTATTTTCACTCAAATCAAGACTTTAAATAAAAAGTATAAGCATTTAGCTTAAATTCAATTTTCTGACTTTTATAATTATTAATATTGAAAGTTAGTGAATTAAATTAACATACAATTCATTTAAAATGAACTTTTATATAGAATTTAAACTTAAATAAAACATAAAATTACAAAAAAACGATTACCACATTGCATCCAATGATGGTGATTTACAATGTTTTGCATTTTCTGGTTGATTTTCTGATTCAATTAAAGTTGACATTAATTTCCAAAGAATTTTCGGAATAATGATATGATTTTTCTGAATATATTTACTATTGTACAATGTTTCATTAATGCAAGAAGTTAGACGCAATTTCAAAAGGAGTTGATCTTCTATTCCAGCTGCAATTAACCTGTTAGCTTTAAAAAATATTTTAAATAGATAAAATTAATTAAAGTGACTTTATACTTTATCAATATTCTAATTTTAAAAAATGTTTCAATTTGTAAAGTTATGTTCAAATTAAAACATTTCATTCAATAAATTGTTCGATAAATTTTTTACTGAAATAAAACTTTAATTTTTTTTTAATTATTTTATAAAAAAATTTTCTTCCGTGTTATAGGAAAATAATACAATAGTTTTGAGGCACATTTATTCAAATTAAAAGAATCATTATAATTTTATATTAAGATTTCATATTTAATTCTCAAAAGTGATTTCTGAAACTACTTTCCGAGTTATAAAAAAAATAATTCCATTATATATGTATTAATTTTATATTATATATAAAATATAAATATAAATATTATGTATTAATTATATATGTATTAATTTATTAAAATACGTATACTTAGTTTCTACTTAGTTTTTTCGTGATTTATTTAACTCGAGTTATTCTTGTCTGATTATATCATATTCGAATAATTTTTATTATGAGAAAAAATGATTTTTATATTTCTTTAGACTTGTAATAATTTCAAGTAAATTTGTAATAATGATTTAATTTTTTTAATCTTTTAGTTACTTCATTTTAGTTCTACATTACAGAATGAACCTATTACGATGATAATTATTTCCATACATTGTATATCATTAAAATATTGGTATTTTTGATGTATTTTTGATTTTTTGTCATACGGTTTTCCTATAAATTTGACAATAGTTTCTAAAATATTCTACAAAACAGTATACTTATTTTATTTGGATTTTTAAAGTAAAATATATGGGTCACTGTCTAATAATATGAAGAAAAAAATGTATCTTACAAACAGTTTGCGATAAAGGAAGTATTGTCAAAATTATCTCCAAAATGTCCGTGTAAATCTCGTCCGAGGTAATCGCCAGATGTTCAATGAGGATGAATGGAAGCTTGGAATAGTTAACGGCTTCGCGACACATGGACGGTTTTACCGCATCCTTCCTTGCCTTCTTATCATCGCCGTGAACGAAGTTCATAATGGCGTTCTTGACGGTAAAAAATGCATCTTTCGATGGTGCTAGGAAAAGCAGATAACCCAAGAGAGTTAAGTGACGTTGGAGTTTAGGAGCACACAGCAGGAGCTCAGAGGACTTCCGCAAGAGTGGTGGCTTCCCGCTGAGATAAAGGAACTCGCGAAGGAAATCCTGATAGTCTTCAATATGTTTAGCCTGCTTAGATAGGAAATCAAGGATATCACGGATATGCAGTAGGTGCTCCAAGTACTGAATTGCTTTGTAAGGATTTTCATAGTGATTATATAGTTTCTTTATATAAAGAAATCAATATAAAAAAAAAAAAAATAAAATTCAATAAGCCAAAAGTACAAAATCTTAGTTAAAACAAAAGTTAACTAATCATTGATCTGTCTTAATGAAATACATTTTTTGAATGCCTTGAATTTTTTTAAATTTATTAAAAGTGGTTGAAATGTACAGCTATTTTGTAAAAATACTTAACAAAATCTATAAATTTTATTCCTATTTATAATCACATTTTATTCACTGTAACGTACTTTTAAAAATGAACACATATATACTAAGTTTTTTTTATTAAAAATTAAGAATAATATTGACTTTTTAGATTCTAAATTGTTTTTTATTATATTTCATTTTTTACACAATTAGTAAATTAATTTAAATAATAACTTAGATATTGTGCAATACAATGTTTTTAATTATTGTAATTAAGTAAATATTACATTATAAAATGCAGGCTTTTTTGCAAATATAAATTTGGAATTGATTAATTTTTTAATATTGATACCAGTGAATAATATCATTTATGAATATTTATGAATCAATGACATAAGGATACGTATCCGTCATAACCATTATATTTCAAGAATTTAAATAGCAAATAGCAAACAAATCCTATATCTTCACACACAGGATTGCGAATAATGTCTAATAATTTTTTAATTATATTATTTAATTTAGCCGCTCTCAGATCTTCATCATCCAAATTAATATAAGATATTGTTTTAAGGGTAGAATATGAACAAAAACTTGATTCGACCACTGTTGGATGTAAAATATTTGAATATTCAGATGTCCAACTTTCATTTTCGTGTGCGCCATCGCCATCTTCATAATTTTTGCAAAAACAATTAACATTATCAATCATCTATATACTAATAAAATAATGATTATTGAAACTGAGCCAAAGATTATTTAAATAATAAATAAATAAATTTCGAATACCGAATTTATTAAACGTCATAAATAATTTTCTTACCTTTCTTAATTCACTTTCTTAATTATTCATATACTCGTTCATAAATAATACAAAATAATTAAAACTATACAAATCATACAATAAATATTTAAAATTTTATAAGTTTATGAAATTGAATATTAATGCCTTGTAAAATGCATATTTGACATTACATAGCATGGCGTAATAGTAGTACTTCAGAGCTTCAAACTTCGACATTCGGCCGTCGGATTCGTAAGTTACCCCACGTTTGCGCTATTAGTACTCTACGCCAATTGGCTGTTGCAAATGCGTTAATTTCGAATTGAATTACCGCAATTGCGTAGAGGGTTAAGACGATTGGCAATGTACTCGTTTTTCCTATTCGTCCTGCCCCAGCTCACCAATCGAAATAAGCGCGCCGACAGCCGAGAGATGTTAATTAGTACTGAGGTATATTAACTAAAATAAAATAAAAACAGAAATGAGTTATTATTAAAAGCAAAATGTCTATAAAAATGTCCTATATAAAAAAAGTTTTAATGAATCTTAAATTATATTATAAAATTATATTAAAGTTTAACACGTTTTAATATTTTTCTAATTTTCTAACATATTTTAGATAAAATTGTATAAAAATTATATATATTAACTCATCCTATCATTACAATTACCTATCAAAATATTTAAAAGATTAGAATTTCAACCATTTTTTTATAATTTCTAAACGGTTTAATATTTTTGCGTAATTTAACTAGCGATAAATGATTTATTAAATTATTACCAAAAATTAAATTACGCATATTCTAATAATTATTTAAATAGCAACAGCTTCTATACAAAATTTAATTAAATGATTTCCAAATATTTAATACAAATATTTATGATTTATTCACATTTAATATTTATTGTGTGCAAAACTAAAGAGAGACAAAAAAAATATTAGTTTTTCGATGAAAGTCAGTAAAGTTACATAGAAAATTATTTTCATTTTTTAAAATTGGAAAATTCATTGTCTTATATAAGAAAGAAGAATCAAATTGTAACATTTATATTATTTTTAGTGACAAAACAAACAGCATTTTTTGTGAGTGTCACCATATTCTTTTGTGTGTTTCACATTCATTAAATTATTACCCTCTAGCGGTATATACTCTTACTTTAAAAATAGAGTTTGTCGGTAAAACAGAATGAATTCTGTACAAAGAACAGAATTTCTAGAAAAAATAAATTATATTTAGTGGCTAATTAAATAAATAATATTAAATTTATGATTTCATTATTCATCTATTTTCTATCTTACACGCACGCGCGCGCATAATTAATTGATATGAGCATTATATAAAATATAATCAATTTTTTTAATAATTAATTGAACTTGGAAAGTAAGTCCATAATTTAATGATAAACATTATTAAAACTTTAATAATAATAATAATTACGTATTTGTACTTAGACAAGTTCATCAAATCTTAAAAAAAAATTTTAACGATTTATTATTTTTAATATTCACTATATAAAAGCTCCAGTTAATAAATTAATAAATCGTTATTGAACAAAATCAATGTTTATAACAATATATTCAAAACATAAAAGAATTTGACAAATTGTTTTATCAATATTTTTGAAAATGTTCTAATTTATAATAAAATTAAAAAGTGGCAATTATAAGTTGTTAAATTTATTTGTTTATCTTTATAGGTTGTTATAAATCACGATATATATGTAGGTGCATGTATAAATATATATATATATATATATATTATTCAGAGTTGCATATATATTATTGTATTATAAGTTTTTTGTATCAGTACGTTTTATAGACAATATATTCAGGAAGTAAATCTGAATTATAAATATTAATTATAGCAATTATTTTCCGGAAAATGAATATATGTGTTTATTGTATGCAACATATATTTATATCGCATTGTATTGTAAATTGTTATATTAAATTAATATTATACATCACACATGATAATATAAATTGTTGAAATAGTAATAGTTTAGCTCGATTGAAAATATATTGCTGCACATACTCTTTTTTAATCTAGATTTTTTATCGATTAAATTACTTAGATTTCACTAAACAATATATGTTTTAAAATTGATCAATTTTGTAAAATTGAAATTGTTCATAAACATTTTTAATCATCTATTCTGAATGCTTTCTGGAATAGAATTTATAAAACTTTATTCCCATCTATTTCATTATGGACGTCAACCGAATACACGATAATTTATTACGCCTTCTTTTTATTGAATACACGAACACACGTACACCCGCGCGCACATACTACACGTATATATATATATATATATATATATATACACTATACAATACAAATAGAATATTATATCCTTGAAAATAATACTCAAAATAAAACATATTGTAAATATCGTATTTCAGTTTAATACATTATTCATTTTTTTTATCACGGATTACTTAATTTATATAAAATAAATATTATACTATATTTGAAAATAAGAAAATCTACCCTTTTATCACATAAACTTGCATTAATAGCCAAGTAATTAACCTTTGCAGTAAATTGCGTTCTTTTAATGGTATTCATTACAGACTCGGAAATTCAGATAAAATTTCTATTTAATGTATTAGACTGTATCAATCCATATAAGTTAGTATTTGTTAAAATTTGTGAAGTATATCAATAATGAAACCAGCTGTTTAAACTTATTTGCGATAAATAATCAACATTAAGTGTTCGTAGGATACCCGATATGTTTGTAGTATGTACTAAATATGAATTTTTTTTTTTTGTTAAAACAGTTTCGTCCCAGATAAAATTAAAGTAGTCAACAAGTATCCTTAAAAGAATATACTTAATGAAAGCAGTTGAAGTAAGCAAAAAAAGGAAATTGCATTTTGAAAGATAATCAGCTCACGTCTCGTTGACGATATGTTCCTCGACAATCAAATCTGATACGCAGCCTCGGGTCTCCTCAATGAGATCATCTTTGTTTTCAAAACGAGACTATCAAGAGAAGACCCTCGGTACTTCCGCGTCATCTTCTTCCTCATTTTTCTTTTTCTTCCACGCCTTCGTCCACTTGCTTGCTCGCCGCTTCAGCACGGAATTCCACTCGCTTTTCTTTATTGCCGATGAACACATATATGTAGTTCCGTTTCATGGAGCCGAGAAAGTCGCGCCGGCGCCATTTTCATCGGATTCCCTTGCCCCTTATCTTCTATGAACTACTAGAAAGATGCTGTGTCATAATAAAAGCAATCATCTTTACTTCATTTGCCATTGCAATTTTTTAAGTTTATAAAGGTATTTATTTGATGATTTTTCAACCATAATTATCTTACAAACTCTGCTTTTAATAGTATTTTAATGCACATGTATGAATTTTTTAATAACAAATTAATTTATAACTATCTATACATTATTACGTGATGTCTTTTCAAATACTTTATTTTGTTTTTGTAATTTCTTTTTATGACTTTTGTAACAATATTTTATCCAGTTGATCTCGTTTTAAATTAATTTCATACTTTCAATTTTATATAGATTTTTAGATTGGAAATTTATCGAACTCATCAAGATCGTTTTTTCCATTAATAATTTATGTATCTTATAGATACTTTAGTGCAGTATGTTTGTACGTAAAATATTCCTGTGAATATATAAAATTGTATTTATCAAATGTATTTAGAAATACATCATTGTACGCAAGTTATCATATTTTCTGTTTGCTTTATTAAATTAAAAATTATACATCCATTTTATAACCACGTTATTATATTTTAACTTTTAGTTTACACTCATTTTCAAATGTGTAGTAGTCCGTCATATCAATAAATTTGATTGTAATCTTGTTAGTGCTTTGAAGTTGTGTAATTTTATAACTTTGTTTGTGTATTGTGATCATTATAAATTAATCATTGAATTATAAACATGTAATTTCATGAAAATTTATTATTTTACTTTTGGGACTCGAAAATTCATTACTTCATAAACGTGGAAACGCCCCTTACCTTTGTTTTGCGGCAGACCTTTTCAAGATATTTGTACATACCCTAACCCTTTTAACTATAGTATAATATTATCTTCATCCACTTAAATCCCTTTTTATTTTAGTTATTATACTCTAATCGTATATGTACTTTTACTACTTCTAAGACCAATTTCTTTTAATTCGTCGGATTTAACTACTTTTACAGTATTTGATAAAGTGCGCAATTTTGTTACTAATGATAGTGAAATTTGTTATTTCTCTATTTTTTTTTTTGTTTTATGTATTTGAAACGGTTATTTGCATACAAGATTTTTTTTATTCATAAGTTATAAGAATCCTTCTTTTTTATTTACAACCAACAACTACTAGTAATTGTATTGCTCTATGAATCTTAACTTTTCAATTACATGGATATGCCTAAGATTTCCATAACCTGTTGACAGAGTAAAACAACGCATTTCCTGAGTGTAATAATTTCCTAGTCTTTTCTTTTGTAATATTTTTACTATTTGTTTTTTATAATAATAGAAATACCTAAATACTTAAATTTATATAATAATTTGAAAAGTTTTATTAGAAAAGTTTCCAGATACTGTCCAATACATTTCTAGTACATATGTACTTAGTGATAAATTTTTTTATTTTTTTATTTAAACCTACTTTACATTTTCTTTTGCTTTTAGGAAAAATTTTGCTTTTTTATAATAATCTTTTTACTATCCACTGGCATATATATAACTTGCGCATGATAGCCAATAAGTCAAAAATCTAATCCTTTATTATTCTGTATTGTAAATATGCTTGCATAATTCAAAATTGGAAAAGTTGGAAAAGAAATAAATAGGCCGTCGTATTATTACAAACCATGGTTAATTTTCAAAAGGTTCTAATAAATTATCTGTTATTCACGCTCTTATTATATCTGTAATTGATTCTTTTTCATATTAATTTTTCAGGCTAAATGAACTGGTTTGAAAAAAATATTTTTCTATTTCTGATTTATCAATACTTGGTGTACTATGTAATAGCGCCTGTTTAATTAGAAATCTCTAAAAACTTTTCAATCTAGCGTAATGTAAGTCACATTAGTACATGCTAGTATTTCGTTCTACATAAAAAGTACGTTCTTACTAATGAAAGGATGTACAGAATTTTGTAACACATCTTAGAGTACGAACATGCCTCTGTAATTATTGCAATTTTTTCTTAGTCTTTAATTGTAAAAATAATATAAAATTAAAGCAATTCAATTAAAT